CATGGTTGGCACAATGCAAGTTTCTTATACACCATGGTTGGCACATGTGTTTCTTCTACACCATGGTTGGCACAATGCAAGTTTCTACACCATGGTTGGCACAATGCAAGTTTCTTCTACACCATGGTTGGCACAATGCAAGTTTCTACACCATGGTTGGCACAATGCAAGTTTCTTCTACACCATGGTTGGCACAATGCAAGTTTCTTCTACACCATGGTTGGCACAATGCAGTTCCACACCATGTCAACACCATGTAAGTTTCCACACCATGGTTGGCTCAATGAAAGTCTCCACACCATGGTTAGCAACATGAAAGTCTCCACACCATGGGAAAAACAGCATTTTACACATTGTTTGCTTCAAATAGTTATAAGCCAATTTAAACTGATTTCACCAATGTAGTATAAGGAGCAACCCCTATAAAATTTATGTGTTGTGATAATTATAGTTTAGAAATCATTAATTGTTACGTACTAATGATTTCATGTTATGAATTATTGCCAAACGTACATGTTTCATAATGTCTCTCTAGGTCCTCATGTTTTGTATTCCACTGATATCCATCAACGATTTAAGGCGACTTTAGGATTTTGAGTTAGTTACAAATAACAAAGTAAACGTTTTTCAATTGAAATTTCAGCTGACTAACTTGGATGATTATTTGTAGTCGCGTAATCATTTTTGATCAAGCTACAGATAAGAAATCATCTCTAAAAAATAAATCTTAATTTTAAACTGAAACGCTGAAGGAGAAATTATTTGGTTTATTTCTCAGAATCGTGATCTGCATTGATCTTATATATTTTGCAAAAAATACGAATTTTTTAGGTTAAATTTTAAATTTTAGGCAAAGGACAATGAACACTTATTGCAATATAAACTAAATTATATCATAAAAAATTGCACTACTTTCAAACAACTAACTTCTGAACTTCAAACATGGATGTTTAGAGGTTTTATGAAGTACATTAAATTTACTTGTTCTGTCTTAGTTTATTTTATAGATTGAAACCGATTTTAAAGTAACTTGTTTTTTAATTTTCATTCGGACCTAGATTCTTTATATTGCATTTGTTGTTAACATTTCCCAGGAGACAATTTATAGAGTCAAAATATCACCAAATGAATTATTGTGTCTTGATTTTTTCCATGGAACTCATAGCTATGTTGAGTTTGCAAGATGTCTTTGTTTGTCGCAGTATGTTTCATCCTTTTTGTCCATTACCTGAAGCAGATAATGAAAATTAAAAATTCCATTCATTAATCAGCAAATAACCTAAGGATTTTTTAAATTATTGCTTTTGCTATTGTCAGTGAGCCATTGACCAAGAATTTATGAATTGTATTTCAAACGGTCCAATTCTCTTCATGTATTCTTAGAAGAGAGGCATCTCCGATGAAGATGCTTAAAGTTTGATTTGAGTTTATGCTTCTTCTAACTTAACGAGATAGTAGATGAGTTGTCTGAGCTAAGAGTTTATTTAGTGAAAAGATTACTGGAATAACATGAATGAGTTTTAATTCGAAAGATTGTAGCGTTCCTTTTCAAGCAGGTATCCGTTTGGATAGATTTAATATTTGACATTTTCGTAGTATTTAAAAGTTTTCCTTTTATAATATAAACATGATAATTGGTAATATGACTATGATTTGTATTATTTCATTAACAGAAATAAAAGTGCTCATTTCTAGCAAAAAGTAAGTAGCGTAAAATAGGAAAAATTGTTGCCATATATATTTAAATATCCAAAGTCCTGAGAAGTCACACGTTTGCAGTAACGACAGTCAAAATAAGATTTATAATGATAATATTTATATGTTTTCACTAAAAAGACTTTCTCCATTGTGCTCTTTTATCGTTTATTGTATAAGTTATCATTCATCACTAGGGCAAGCATATGGTACAATGGCGCGCTGTCAATTTTTGTTGGAGGAGGGCGGGGGTCGCAGAAACCAATATCGGTAACGAATTTTGAATAGAGGACAGAAAATTTTTCTATACTTGTAACATTTCATCAAGTTATAGGTGATTGAGAAAATGTGAAAACTATAAAGTTATACATCGTGGATCATTTTTGTAAAATTCTCCTTTATTAGTTGAGAAATATTTTACTAAAATTGAATTGCAATGGACATATCAACGGAACAGATGGAAGCACATGCTGCAAGATTAATATTGAACGCTTGCTTTTCAACATTATTGGTGTATAATTTCGTAGGAGCACAATACTCATAAAGTATGCCTAAACATGTTTGCTCTAAAGAAATTTGTCGTGTATTTTAAATGTTTAATGATTATTGGTGTATCACCGAATCGTTAAATTGGCTTCATTATCGTTGGGAAATTGTCTGAAGACAAAAGGTAAGTAGATATTAAGATATGATAATTTATGATTAGATTTCCAGTTTAGATGAAACATTAATGCTGTAGCATTGAAATTCATGATGGTTAAATTGCTATAAGCTCTATATTCTGTTTTTGCATCTTAAGTTTTGCTTGAAGCTACGAACTAAATTTGAAAACTATAAAGTTACACATCGTGGATCATTTTGTAAAATTCTCCTTTATTAGTTGAGAAATATTTTCTAAAATTGAATTGCAATGAACATATCAACGGAACAGATGGAAGCACATGCTGCAAGATTAATATTGAACGCTTGCTTTTCAACATAATTGGTGTATAATTTCGTAGGAGCACAATACTCATAAAGTATGCCTAAACATAATTGCTCTATAAAGAAATTTGTCGTGTTAAATGTTTAATGATTATTGGTGTATCACCTAATCGTTAAATTGGCTTCATTATCGTTGGGAAATTGTCTGAAGACAAAAGGTAAGTAGATATTAAGATATGATAATTTATGATTAGATTTCCAGTTTAGATGAAACATTAATGCTGTAGCATTGAAATTCATGATGGTTAAATTGCTATAAGCTCTATATTCTGTTTCTGCATCTTACGTTTTTGCTTGAAGCTACGAAGGCAACATCGACATGGATTTTTTGTAAACAATGAAAGAATGTAAGGGTGCAGTCGTTTAAAGAGAATCATTCACCTAGAAGACATTATTTTGGCTTGTTTCTTATAAGGACAGAACATTTTTATGATCAAACTTAAGATTGAAGCATAGGCAAATGTAATTCTAATTTAGTTGTTATCAGCAGATCCGTGCTACTTTTTTGTTTTTGTAATTAGATATTTGTATTCGTAATTTTTCGACGGAATAAACAGTTTTAAAAAGTTTATGAAAAAAAACTCCGTTTCTATCTAAAATTTAGAAAATATGTTTTGGTATTCCTATTCATACACAAGATTTAGAAATAGATAAATATTTAGTAAGCAAAGTATAAAAAAAGCTTTAAGCTGACTGGTTGATTTTCTTCATGTTGTCCCTCGTTAAAAGACACGGCGGACGACTTATAAAAAAAATAAATAACAACATCAATTTTTTGATATTTTTCCTACCATATAATAGATGATACTGTATGCATAAACAAACATGATCTACAGCAAAAAAATTCATGACGAAGATATGATTCATTACCAAAAATGTTTACTACCCAAATTTCTTATTCATTTCCAAGAACAATTTCCTAATCCACTTTTGTGTGTGCTGTAAAACCAATAAATTCTAAAAAAGAGGCTTAATTTCCACGCTTGTAAGAGAGATACAAGGAGATGTGTATGGATTGACGTATATAATTTCTGCGTTTGCGGTTTGCATTTAAAGTTTTCGTCTATCAGCAAATAAAAAACAGATAAACCAAATATAAACCAAATGCTTCGATATTTTGATATTTACGATAATAATAGTTGTATGTTTTCAGTGTTCTATCATCGAACTTGTGCAGCTATGATTTTTCATACAATTGCAGTTTTAAGGATAAAAAATGATGCGTTTTGTTGTCATCTTGTGGTTGATGCTGGCCGTGACTCTTAAATGGCCGTTAAATGGGATGGAACAAAAGTTTGAATTTTGTGAACATAAATGGAATGTGTTTGTTCAAGAAAAAAATCAATCGGAAGAAAGGTGCGGAAATTTGTCTTTAACTAATGGTTGCATCGAAGAGAAAAATTATCTTTTGGAACGATTCAGGATGTTCAGTGAATTTTGTCCACTTGAAGGTAATCTATATATTTTACATTTGCCTTTACATACGTATTTTCATAAAAAAGTTTACTGTTGAAGAAGAGTTAATTTGCAAAAGCCTAAGGTAGAAAAGGTATACTTGTATTTTTTACATATCTATTGCGTATGCAAAACTGCAGACCTACGTACATTGGTAACATTGCTGTATCAGAAACATGGATTTCCTCACTAAAGAGTCAAGTTTAGCAAGATCAAATGATTAAGTCGTTGGCTTTTAGTCTAAAAATAGAAATTAAACTGTTTTTCAGTTTTATTCCGTGGCTACGTTCATCGTTAATGGATGTAGCTTGTCATGGTCTGTTTCTTATGCAGATCGAATGACTTTGTTATACATCACT